GGAAAGAGATTTTTTAAACTTATGCTGTTTTCATTGTAGTTTCTAGTATTATTTCCTGATTTTTATTGAGCTATGGCTGCTGCTTTGTAAGCTTTTAATCCTGATTTTAGGATCTGCATAAATTATAAATGCTTTCAGATTTCCGTGATTGTTTGATGTAGAATTCATTGGTTTTCATTTATTTACTTTTTTTTTTCTTTCTGGGTCGACATTCCTTAGTATTTTTTCAAAGCATTAGATTTACAGGATGCGAGTAGTCGTTTCATTTTCATATAATTATTTATTCATGATACCTCGAAAAGAATCGTGCGGTGTATTCCCTCTTGAATTTTGCTAAACATCATAACCGTAAATTTTCCCTTTTCTTTCTATGCATTAAGCGTCAAAACAGTCTCCTGATTTTTTGCAGGTAGTCATTTTGGTCCCAATTTTATAAAAATGTCAATTTAATCTTCAGAATCATTTAATATAGACTGAAATAGTACCAATGGAGGCTATTTCAGTTATAAATTAAAAATCCCGGGGACTAATTTGACCATTTTATAAATTCTGGGATTAAAATAGCCTAGAGATTATTTTGACACTTCACTGCATTTTATAAACGGAACATGAATACTTTTCCCTCTATTATGATTAGTGGTCTAATCAAACATGCATTTCTTCAGAGAAACAAGAGGAGAAAATTGACCCTTTAATTGAATGGCTTCAATCAGAATTTCACTTTAAACCAAAACTACATTCCAGCCTTTTTGGTGGCAAGCAGGACGAAATCTTCGTCAATGCTGTAGAAAACGTTCTCAAGAAGACTACCGACTCCGAGTTAGCAACAATAGACGCAATAGCCTCTTCCGCACATTCTTTGGTCATCGCTCTTGCGATTTTCCGTGAGAGACTCGATATAGAAGAAGCCATGGAATTGATCAGGCTTGAAGAAGACCTGCAGGTCTCTATTTTTTAAAAATAAAACGTCTGGATAATAGTCTCCCGACTTCGTACATGGGGTCATTTTAGTCTCGGAATCTATGAAATTGTCAAATTAATTTTGAGCTCTTCTAATATGGCCTGAAATAGTTCTCTACGGTGTATTAAAAGAGTGTGGGAACTTAATCGACACTTTTTTATATTGTGGGACTAAAATGATCCCTATAAAGAGTTAAGAGATTATTTTGTGATTGTTTTTTTAGATTTTTATTTTGCATAAATGAGAGTTTATTGTGTTCTTCCATGGCTAATATAAGTCCTATTTGGCTTTCTGCATAGGTTGACAAGTGGGGTTTAGTTGAAGGTGGTCATGATGTTGATATTGCTGATCTTCAGGTGCAAATCTCCTCTGCTGTTGTATTTTTACATTTGTCATATAGGCAGTAAGCTCAACTCTCTCTTTCCATGTCTACTTTGGGTAACAATATCCAAAGCTTAAATTTGATCAGGCTGAGCTTTATGGCCATTAAATTTATTCTGATTAGTATTAGATTATAATATTTTTGAAATAAAATTAATGGTTAATACTATTTGTCATGATCAAAATTGTGATAGAATATTCTTAAATATTTTTTCTTTTGTTGAGTTCTGATCATCATAAGAAATAGTATGTGCTTGGAATAATACCCAACAACCTTATTATGTTATATGTTCATTGGTTGGCTCATTTGAATGGCATTTTGTAGGTTTTGATTGTGTTTTCTTTTCTGAAGATTTACATCCATGCCATCTAAGTCTTGTGTATTTACATATCTTACACCTAAAGTTGCAATTTTACATGCAGGCCAGTTTACCTATGCATTAAAAAAGGTGTATTTCACTGTTCAAAAGTTAAAATGGTGATATTTTTTATGGTGTATGAAAGATTTGCGTGGTATAAAGGTAGAAAAGCAAACTGTAGGTGGTAGATATGTAAACATATGGGAATTGAGTGGTATGTATTTAAATGCCCCTCTATTTTTTAGTTTATTTGATTTGTGCTGATTGTGAATGTGTTTATAGTCACAGATAATTGAGTATACGGATTGCCCGAAACATCGGTATTTTCAAATCAAATTCACTATTCAGGTGATTTTTTTGAACTACTGAACTGATATATTTACATGTGCTGCGATTAAACTATTAAGAATTTGATAAAAATGAAAAATATGGGTTGGGGTTTTATCATGAATTTTGATTTTTGAGTAAAAAATTGAAAATAAATGGAAGAGGGTGGTTGATTTGTAAATAGCAAGTTTTGGGCGGTATGTGTAATTGCGCCTTTGTTGGCATATATGTTTTGTGCAGATTACCTCAGTGAAGCTATTAATCACTTATAATTTACAGCATCTAATTATATTAATCAAGAATAAAGTTAAGATAGCATACCACCCAATTTTGATATATTTATTTTGTGCATACATGAGCATCCCTAGGATTTAATTAATGGGCATTTACATGGATACCACCAAATCTCTATGTATTTGCATATCTAACACCTAGACTTTCTTTGTTACATCCATACCACCTAAATCTTTCATATCATTTCAAAAATATACCATCATTTAAAATTTTATAAAGTGAGAGACCTATTTTTTCATGCATAGATAAGGTGTCGTGTGCAAAAATTAAAATTTAGGTGTGATAAATGTAAATGCATTGGAGTTGAGGTATTTACGTAAATTTTCTTTTGTAGAATTCATGTCAAATGTATTCATCCAGAAATATCCTTCTTGTACCCTCACATGTTATGATGCCATTATGTTTGAGATGAGGAATCATTGGTAGAGTCAGTTTTAGATATAAGAAGGCTTCATGTAAAGTTTGAGGAATTAAATCATCAACATTCAAATCATGATTAATCAACATATCATTTGGAGATTATAAGATGAAACATTTTATCTAATATTTGCATTTGCAGTGCTATAATATTTTTTAGGAACGTTTAAATACATACCATATATTTCTTATATATATCGAGCCTAAACTTTCACATTTACATGCAAATCGCTCAAATCTTATCATATCAGAAAATATCACTATCATTACCTCTTTAGAATTGAAATAAGATTTAACGACAATAAAAGGTTACATGTGTAAATATTAGATTTTACACAGGAATTGTGTGGTATAATTTAGATCTATTTTCTTACATTCTTATGCAATTCATGAAAATCATGCTAGAATGATGAAGTAAAATCAAAATATCTTGCAAGGTTAGGGGAATCAAAACTATTGATTATATTAGATTAAAGTCAGCACAATACCTATTTGTTGCATGAGTCAAGGTTAATCATTTTTGTACGAACATTTGCTAAAATTACAATATAGCACCCATCAATTTGCATATTATTTTCCCAAAGTAAGATATTACATGACATCTTCATTAGAGATAATTGTTGTGGATGTGCTCATACTTAAACCATCTCAGTGAAACAAACTTTCTTATTTTGAATATCCATCCCTGTCAATCATAACATTGTCATGGTTTCTTGTAGTGTCTCATGTAGGGTTACAAGACATATTATCCTTATCATTTACTCTCACTTATCTGAATATTTGCATATAAACGGTGCCAGATTGCCAAATTCAAAATTTGCAATAAAAATAAAAAGAAATGCAAAAAACATATTTAATGTTATAATAAATATTTGCAAAAAAAAAAAAAAAAAAATTAAGCACATTGCATCCTACTAACATAGATTTTCTCATCAAAGAAAGCTCTTCGGTAATCATGCTGCATGAGCGGCAGTGTTAGCTGAATCAGAAGCTTCAACCCTGCAAGCATTCAAAATGTGAGGAGATGCCAGAAATAGCTGGGAGAAATAAACAGAAATTTTTTGCCTACATTATAATTTGAAGAACTCGGATTTGAAAAATTACATCTTTTTTTTTTTTTTTCAAATCCACTCAAAAATAGAAATTCACAATAAAATCCCAACCTACTTTTTTTTTTTTAACAAATTCACAAAGGTTTGATCATGGCAAGTGAAAAAAGATGAGTTTGACAGTTCAAAAAAAGATACGAGGGGTTATATTGTAAATAACAATATTAATTATTTGGGATGCCATGGTAGTTAGCTAAATATTCTAAGTTTTAAAATCATTTTATGATGTAGGTTAGGAAAGAGGAGCTTGTCATGGAAAAACATTGATTAATGACCAAATAAAAAAAATTAATAATTATAATTGATAGATTTGCTACATAGCACTCCAAAATTTAAAAAAAAATCATTTATTATATTTTGAAAGAATTTTAATATCTACATGATTTCAATTCTTATTACTTTTGATGGCAAATGATGATATATCATTTTAGCTATTATTTTAAGAGTTTGACTAAATTAAATCTTTTATATAGTGTAAGATTAAGGGCTTGTTTGGGAAATTTTTTTACCTGCTTATCATTTCAGACTATCACCACAACTCCGTTTAGGGAATTATTTTTTAGAAATTTTGTCATAGGAAGCTATTTTTTTCAACATGCTAAAATATGGTGGCGGTAAAAAAAAAATGTTATTTGATTTTTTTAATATATATATATATATATATAATTCCCACATCTTTGTAAAAAATTGTTTTCTTCACCCTGACTTTACAATCACCTTTTTACAAGTCTCCACTGCCCCCCTCCCCCCACCCCCACTTGGAGTCTAGGGTGACGCTGTTGTAAGTATATTTCCTTCCCTTTTGACCTAGGCAAGGATTCCCTGATCAACCTTGGTTAAGGGTTTGTAGCTGGAGCGGTCGGCACGACCTTGAATTGCATCTCCATGTGCTTTTTCATCATCTCCCTTATTTTTTTATGCTCTCAAATCCATCCTCCATTCAACTTCCGATGGAGGGGGATGGGCCGAAAATTGGAGGGATGGTGTAAGGGGCGCGGAAAAGCACGATGGATGAAGAAGGGAATTGGGAGTGTGATATGTCTATGATCGAATGAGGGAATTCCACCCTAGATCCATGGGGTAAAGTATCGGGGGAAAAAGAGTTTGGGGTAGAGATGAAGAGTCAGAAAACCAAAAATGCTAATCTTCGAAGGGGAAGATGCACATGAGTGAGTTTATCGGTTGGAAAGATAATTTGCAATCAATGGGTTGACAGAGGAAGAGAAGCTCACGACAACGGGATTATGCTTGGAGGGAAATGCTTCAGCATGGTTTCAGTTAATGGAGGCAAGATATCTGATGCACTCATAAGAGGAGTTTAAGGATTGCTTGTTGGAATGTTTCCAAGCCATTAGGGAAGGAGAACTGCACAAGCAATTCTATGCTCTGACTCAGGAGGTGATGGTTACGGAATATCTGGAAAAGTTCAAGCTCTTGTCAAGGAGGTTGAGGGGCATTTCTGCAGCATGATTGAAATGAAACTTCTTGAAAGGCCTAAAGCCCGACATACGAGCAGCCATCCACCTCTTGAGAAAGTGAGGATTGAGGGAAATGATGAAGCTCTTCAGATGACGGATGATAAGAAATAGGTTAAGAAGATTAGCAAAAGCAACAACACGAGGCTTCTACAAAAGCACATTGACAGCCACAATACCGATGACTCAGATGGTGTTATTTCACAAAGAGACGCCGAAAAAAAGAGTGAGGACCCCTTCCGGAGGGTAATTTCAAGCGCCTTATAGATGCATAAGTGCAGGTAAAAGAGCAAAAAGATTTTGTTACCGATGTGACCAAAAATACGCCACAGGAGATCATTGCAACGAGTGCACCCTTTATCTTTTAGTTCAGGAGGAGGATACAAAGAGTGAGAAATCGGAAGTGCGATGGAGGTGGAGCATTTGCATTTAGATGTGACGGAGGTGTCCCTAAAATTTGTAGTGAGATGATCGTGGAACAACCGATTGGTGTTGGTAAATAACGAAACCACACATAACTTCATCTCAAATCAAGTTATGGTGACCACATGGAAGTTCGGCGTCATGATGGGGACAAGGAAGGTGGAGAAATGTCGCAGAATATGCAAGGGGTTGGTCTGACACTACATGACCTATAGGTGGTGGAAGACTTTCTAAAGAATAAGGCAGCGCATATGGGATTTTGGGGATGAAGTGGCAGCGAACATTGGAGATGGAGTGAAAGTCCTTGACGATGAAGTTCCAAGTGGAGGGTAGGAAGATGGTTTTGAGAGGAGGTGCTAGTTTATGCAAAACCATGGTCAAGTAGATTAGCGGAGAAGTACTGAGCTCCTTAGTGGAGTTGCAGGCATTAAGGAGATACTGGATTCAGAGTTGGCAGAGTTTCCAGAAGGGGTCCAACAGTTTTAATACTAGTTTATGGATGTCTTCCAACAGCCAAATGGGTTACCTCCTCCGATGGAACACGAGAACACTATTACATTGAAGAAAGGGGTTTCTCCCATCAGCGTCATACCATACAAGTACCCTCATATTCAGAAAGAGAGATGCTCGAGGCTGAGATTATCAAGCCTAGTGTGAGCCCTTTTTCCCGTTTTGTCCTCTTGGTGAAGAAAAAAGATGGTTGTTGGAGATTTTGTGCGGGCAATCAGGCTTTGAACAATTAAACAGTGTCAGACAAATTTCCTATTCTTGTGACGGATGAGTTACCAGTTGAGTTGGGGCAATCATTTTTTTTCAAAAATTGATCTTAAATCAGGGTATCACCAGATCGGGATGAATCTTGCGGATGTGCACAAGACAACATTCAGTACATTATCAGTTCTTAGTGATGTTGTTCGGCCTCACCAACACCCCGACATTTCTACCCCTCATGAATAGGGGTTTTCAACTTTATCTCCGGAAATTTGTCTTGGTTTTCTTTGATAACATTATGGTCTACAGGGGTATGTGGGTCACCTAAGAGCAGTCTTGAAGACATTGAGGGAGCATCAGTTGTATGCCAACTTGAAGAAATATTTTTTGCATGGTTACAGGTGGAGTACCTAGGAAATGTGGTGACCTGGATCGGTCCAAGATCGAGACTATGGTTGATTGACCCTTACCAAAGAATTTGAGGGAGTTGAGAGGATGTCTAGGTCTCACCGGCTACTACCGGAAGTTTGTGAGAGGATATGACACGATAGCATAGTCACTGACAAAACAATTAAAGAAAGACAATTTCAAATAGAGGGAAGCAGCGGCAGACATTGATCATTTGAAGAGGGCCATGACTAGCATCCTATTATTAGCATTTCCAAATTTCAGTAAACCAACTGTGGTAGAAACAGATGCGTAAAGGTACGAATTAGGAGCAGTACTCATGCAGGATCAACGTCCAATTGCCTACTTCAACCAGGTTCTTATGACCAGAGCAAGTCCAAAGTCCGTATATGAATGGGAATTGATGGCGATTGTCTCGACCATTCAGAAGTGGCGGCCCTACCTGTTGGGATGGCATTTTTTGGTCATGACAGATCAGAGAAATTTAAAGTATCTTCTGGAGCACTGAGAACCATCAGAGAAGGTTACCCAAATTACTGGGGTATGATTTTGAAATTCAACATCGACCAGGATTGAAGAACAAGGCAACAAACGCACTGTCGAGAAAGGTAGAGGAACCGCAATTGATGGCCCTATCGACACCCTTAGTCATAGATTGGGAAGCCCTGAGATAACGAGATGAGAAGCCGAGGAAGATAAGGGTTGAGCTACTACAGGAACCAAACATTCATCCAAGATATGCATTGAGGGGACAACAACTGCTCCACCAGAAGCGATTCGTGTTACCCAAGACATCAGAGTATATTTCCAAATTATTACAAAAGTTTCATGGCAATGCAATCGGGGAACATTCAGAGGTGAAGAAGACCTACATTCGTCTGACAACAAAATTTTATTGGGTGAGGATGCTCAAGAAATTCGAGAATATGGTGGAAAAATGTGACGAATGTCAGTGGTACCATCCGAGTAAGTATGCATATTTCATTACCTTACGACATTCATACACTGCAGTTTCGATTGCAGCGGTGTTTATCCAGGAAGCAGTCTGTTTAAACTTAGTACCAGAAATCAATTGTTTCGAATAGGGACAAGGTGTTGCTCAGTCATTTTTGGAAAGAGCTATTCAGGTTACAAGAGGCAGTCCTTAAGAGAAACACTGCATATCATCCCTAGACCGATGGACAGAAGAAAGTGATCAACAAGAGTGTGCAAACATACCTACGTTGTTTTGTATCTGATACTTCAAAATTATGGATCGAATATTGGTATAATACTTAGTACCATACCGCAACACAGACCACTCCTTTCAAGATATTATATGAGTGTGTGATTTACCTCAGTTAATATATTGTTGGCATAGTTCTACATGTATCCAACATTGATCAATACTTAGAGGAAAGGGATAAGATACTAGCAAATCATGAAAAGGAAAGCGGATAAAAACAAGAGAGATGTGCAATTTAAACCAGGGGGCATTGTCTACTTTAAACTGAGGCCCTGCCAATAGAAGACATTGGCCAGAAGGAGCAAGAAACTCTCACCGAGATACTTTGGGCCTTGTGAAGTGATGACACTCAACGGGGCAGTGACCTACCGTTTGAAATTACCACTACGTCGGCACTATTCCCAATCTTCCATGTATCACAGTTAAGACGTGTGATTGGAATCATGCACCCTCATCTATACTATCGCTGATGTTGACGGAGGATTGAAGGTGATTCTAGAGCCATTAGAGATCTAAGGAGTGCGCCGAGAAGTGGGGAGGGAAGGAGGTATTGGTTTAGCGGAAATGACTGACAGACTATGAAGCAACAAGGGAGCCTTAAGAGGTAATCCACAAGCAGTTTCCATCCTTCCACTTTGAGGACAAGACTTTTGAGAGGGGAGTAGTGCTACATCCAAAAATGTGTCGGTCCAAGCGAATGCAACCCAGCCAGCCCACAGGCCGGGCCGGTCTATACCACGTAAAGAAAGGGTGGGGTTCACTAGGACCATAATCAAATACTCAAGGAAGAGAAATTAAAGGAGGTTTGGAGGGAAAGTGGGAAAGGGAAGCTTGTAAATGTTTTGGGAGGATTCTATTCAGTGGGATCTAGGAATTGTTTTCTTTCATGCATGTATTTGGCAGCTGTTGTGTTTTTTCCTTTTGGTGGTGTTCCTGGCGAGGTTCAGGGTTGTAGGAGAGCCGATCTACCTCTAAAAAAGTAGATCACTGTCGTATCTTGCTTATTTGTATTTGTTTTTTATCAGCATAGCCCTCGTTTGAGTTTTTCCCCTCTCTCTCTTGCCGTTTCATTGTGGTTTGCTCGCTGATTTTGTTATGGGGTGTATTAAATTGTTTAGGAAAAAAAGATATAACTAGAAAATAACAAAAGCATTTTCTATATGAGGAGAAAAAGATTAAGATTTAACAAAAACAGAATAAAAGACTCAACTTTCCAATGTAAAGATGTCATCTGTTAACTCATGGCTGCAGGTAAAAGATGAAAATTTGACAAAAATAAAATAATTACCTTTGAATACCCTCACCAACTTCAATTCTCAGAAAACTGCCAATCTTCACTGATGATCCAACTTCTTTTGATAGATCACTGAGCAAAGACTGCAGAAAAATATTGTTTTAAGAAAAAAGTAAAGTAGTTGTTCTTTTGGCGCAAATCCTCAATAAATTTACCCAACAGAAATACTCTTTATTTATGCTGCTGTGTAAATTGTGCAAGCATTTCACAAAAACACTCATCATACTATTTTAGACCCAACAAAGAGTGTTAAAAAAGAAAAAAACAGGCACATAACACTCGAACATTCATGCGGAAAGTTGTTTGATGTGCTTCCAGGCCATATACTGCACGGGGATCATCTAAAGGAAGATTTTATTTTTTCCGCTTAAAAAAAATATTACCCGATTAGCCACTTGTGATATGCGCAAGAAATATTTGGAAGTTGAATTCCAAAAATTCTCCAGTTTCTGCATTATTTCTAAGATATGGAAGAGGCTATAACAACTATTATTTTTTCACTCATGTTGGCAACTTGAACTTATTTTTTTCACTTCAAAGGGGTATATTTACCAAGAAAGTATTCAGAGAGCTTTAGGATATTTTATTATCTTACATTAGAATCATTTGAAAGAACCCATCATGTAATGAAATCTATGGCATGTTGGATGTCCCTCAACAGGGGTTGTACCATGTCTGGAATTGGCCTCTTAGACTCACTTGCCTTCTAGGATCACCAGTAGGGCTGTCAAAACAGCTCGTGTTCGGCTCACTAAGAAGCTTGTGTTCGGCTAGTTCGATAAGTTAACGAACCCAACACGAACAACACAAACAAAAATTTTTTCATTCGTGTTCAGCTCATTTTGGCTCAAAATACTACTCATCAAAGATTATATATATATATATATATATATCTTTGATGAGTAGTATTTTTAAAAAAACTTAATTGACTACAAGACTACAAAGATTTATAATCAATTAAAAGTATTAATTAAGAAAATAGAATAAAAAATATTAAATTAGATTCAAATGATGTTTTAATATAAAGAATAATTTTTAACTCTTGTCCAATCCTTAAGATCTTATGGCTACCTGATTAGGATTGTCAAAACGACTCTTTGTTCGTAAACGGCTCGTGTTCGGCTCCCTTAGGAAAAGAGCCTTTAACTCTTGTCCAATCCTTAAGATCTTATGGCTACCTGATTAGGATTGTCAAAACGACTCTTTGTTCGTAAACGGCTCGTGTTCGGCTCACTAAGTAAACGAGTCGAACACGAACACACGTTTTGAGCTCGAAATATAAACAAGCCGAACACGAGCTGAATCTAGGCTCGCTTGTGTGCGTGCGCCTCGTTTACACCCCTAATCACCAGTGCTAGTTCTACTGGTGTTTCTCTAAAGACCTATAGAAAGATATAACTCGTATTACTCTCGTATCAAAATTTATATGAATCCCATCACCTCGGACTTCTCCTAAGATGAGAGTATAATGTGCTTTCCATCATAAATGAATAAATATGCATTTTTGTAGTCATCATTACATGTGTACCGGGCGTACTGCAAATAACGACTTAAAAAGATGTGACATTCATCCACAGCTACCACATCAAATCACATATGCTCTTTGAACTTGTCTCTAATAAAAGAACTCCATGAGGCTCTATTTTCACTTATGTTGACAACTAGAACTCATTTTTTTACAACGAAAGATTACTGAGAGCTTTAGGATATTCTCTTCTGTTACATTAGTATCATTTGGAGTGAAAGAAATGCTAGAAGCTTCTCTGGAAAGAGAAAATAATGGCCTTTTGGATTGAGGTTATCAACCTAGCCTATTTTAGGAAGGACAATGCAAAAGTAAAAAGTTTACTATTATCAACAAAATTATGGAACAGATCGACAGACCATCTAGATATAAGCCTTTCTTTACAGAATTACTAGAATGTCCTCTCTATTTTTCTTTAGCCTTTGGCGCTACTTTCTCTAATGTTATTCTCTAATCTGTAATTTCTCTTCTACAGTAATGAGAAAGGTCTGCCAAGCTTTTCAATCAAGAAAAAAAAAGGTAAACTCATGAAAACTAACTAAATTACAATAAATTTGTATGAGAAAAGTAAAATGCTGTGTCAAAAAAAAAAAAAAAAAAAAAAACCTCTCCCTTAATGTTAATACCATCATTCATAACAAACTTTTGCTCCAACAACACTACCTCTTCAAAGTATTTTCGGAGACGGCCTTCCACCATCTTTTCCATAGCAATTTGGGACTTTCCAGAGCTTTCGGCCTGAAAGAAATTTAAAAAGACAATTGAGGCGTGAATTAACCCTTGTCTCGAACACTACAAAGAAACACTTTAATCAGCAGAACGAGTGCAAGGACAAACAAATAAACTGAACTGGAAATTTGTGTATTTCCTGGATATTAATAATGAATCAAAGCCAATCTACAGATCTAACAGGAGGTTTGAAAAACGGAAAAACTATGAAGAAAAAGAATGAGATACCAAGTTGTGTTCAAATTAAGTTAAGCCTAATGAATTTTACAAAAGACAACAAATACCTTTTGAAATGCATAGAGGTTTAATTGAGTTTTAGCTTGACCATAAATTAAACTTCATATTCAAGTTTTGATTCTTACTCTCATGAATATGTTCTGGTGTAGACTCGTGAATATTCAAGTTATAACTTTTGTGGAAATTCAACAAAATTTGATTGATGAATGGCTTACAATTGCAAATTTTCTTCCACATCTAGTTCATCATTCAAAGAACATTTGTAAAATATAACTTCCTCAATAATCATCATGCAAAATACTCCCAAAAGCATACTGGTCCACTTATAATCTGCAAACAATATACTTAAATATCTTATAATTTCGATTTTTTTCCAGACAATCACTTTATTTTTTATAAAGCAAAAGATGAAATATGAAATATTTATACAATTTATAATTTATTGTTTTCAAAGGCTAACATTGAAAGCAAAAGGCAGCAACTTTTTTTTCACTAAGCAATAATTTAGCTACTTGTAATTGGAAAATATGTTTTAAGACATAATGATTTCACTTCACTCGTTTTGTGTGCCGAATGAAATCATACATTTACGTGACTTTTGAGAAGTTGCAGAGTTTGAGACCAAAGTTAATTCATACATACAACTAAATAATATATTTAATAAAATTTATCAGTTTTCAAAGCATGGTTTACAATTTTAAGTAACCAATGATCTAAAAAACATAAAACACAAAATAGAGAATTCTATTGTCAATTAAATTTAAGTAATACTCATGTAACAAAATTAACAAATCTACCCCAAAGAGCATTCTATTTTCGGCCAATGAGAAACTGCAATATATTTACGTACTATTGCTTTATTATAAGGGAGATTTACATACATGCCACACAATTTCTATGTATTTACATATATAGCACCTAAAGTATGATATTTATATCTATAACATTTTAGTGTCTTAACCTATGCATGAAAAAATGTGTTTCACTTTTAAAAAGTTAGGATTAGTGGTATTTTTTTTATGTAATATTAAAGATTTGAGTGCTCTTAATACCGGAACTAACTCAAAACCAGGGGAAACAGAAATAATTTCATTAATCAACTGAATTAGGGCTATAGAACACGACTCTAAATTGAAATAAAATGCAACCACAACAGTTCCCGGCTAGGGTCGGAAGAGAAGATCCGATGGCAGTGGTGGCATCGGCGAGGTGGTTGAGGAGTAGTAGTGGTAGGGGGCAGGTGAGGGTGAAGGCCACCGGTGGTTGGGTATGAGGGGAAAGGGATAGGAGGCTGATGGTGGATTTGAGAGAGGATGGACAGCAGGTAGGACTGCAGGGAAAGGTTGGTAGGGTGCTGGTTGGAGGCCTGAAGGGCTGGACAGCAATGGTTGCTGCAGAGGAAGGGATGCCAGGGTGCTGGAAGGTGGCCTGGACAGCAACAGTTGCTACAGGGGAAGGGATAATAGGGTGCTGGGACGTAGATTGGAGGGCTGGACAGCAAGGCTGCAGCAGTAAAAGGAGGCGTCAGGACAGCTGAGAGGAGATGGGTGGCTGGCGGCTAAGGAAGGTGAACGAGAAGTGATAGGGAGGGGAATATGAGAGGATGCAGCACCACCTCGGAGCAGGGTACAACAAAGCACCACCCGTCGTCAGATACAGCCAGAGCAAGGAAGAAGGAGACTTCAAGGAGAATCTGAAACAACAATCACACCAAAACATAACCCTAATTCCTCCAAACCGCAATTAAAAAGACACCCATAAGGAAAAAACAAAAAAGGGAGGTAGGGGAAGGGCTGGCGGCAATGTCGCCCCTCCCAAATAGCCGCCCGGTCCAATTGCGACCTGAACCGGGCTCAAAGAAACAGGTAGAACGGGTTCCTCCTGAGCCGGCTGACTCCCTAGAACGTGTCAGTTCTTCTTGTAAATATAGTAAAAGTTTAGGTGTTAGATGTGTAAATATATAAGAATTGTGTGGTATACATCTAAATCCCCCTAATATAAATCACAAGACAAAAAACCTCCAAGTAATCAGGTTGAAGAATTACCAGAGATTTAAGAATGTCTCGTTCATTTTCTATTGCTTCAGAAGAAACATTTTCTCTCGCTAAGAACAATGGCTTCGCGGCCACAACGTGCATCGCTAATGAGGAACCGACCTTTCTAAGAGGCTCTAATGAAGCACTGTTATCTTCAGCTTCAATAGTAAGCATTCCAGCGATACGACCCAAACCTGAAAAGATGAAGTGAAATGTTGGTATTAAAATCCAAAGAAAAAAAATCACATTTTTATAACGGGCGTTTACAAACATACCACCCAATTCCTATGTATTTACATATCTAACATCAAACTTTACTTTTTTACATTTATACCACCCAAATTTTTCACCCAAATTTTTCACATCACATAACAAAATACCACTATTTTAACTTTTAAAAGTGAATACACCATTTTCATGCATGCATATGTAAGGTAGCAAATATGTAAAAATTGAAGTTTAGGCTTAGAGATGTAAATACATAGGAATTAAGGGGTACCTATGTAACTCTTCTTTTAAAATACAAGACACTATAGTTAAGGTAACTATTAATTGAATTAATATCTTATGAAGTTTCGTAACAAATTGTCAGATATATTGCCCATAATTGCAATGGAAGTTCAAAAAAAATTTCTGTTACAAGAAAAATTCTATCGTTGCAATTATGTCTGACACAACGAAGTCCATTAGAGCATGCTTATACACACTGCAAAATTGGACGCATTCATCATTTATAATTTTTACAAGGTAGAAAATAGTGCTGTAATAAATTTTTTAAATCCTTAATTAATTGTAGATTATTATGTTACTTTCTTGTTTTTTTCCCTTTTTATATGTCCCGTAATGAAAATATGACACTAAATTGGACTCAATGGACAAAAAGGATTCATATAGCCGACCCCACGTAGTGGGACTAAGGCTTTGTTGTTGTTGTTGTATGTCCTGTAATATTGCATCCACTCTATCCACTGGAATAAGAAAATATCTAGGATCCTTCCCTCATATTTCGGCATAGATTTATACAAATTAAGGCTCAATCACACACAATTATATGCAATAAAAATCAATTCCTTGAAACCAATTATAAACCATATTTAAATCATTTCTTCATAGATTCAAATTAAGTTTACTCAAGAAAAGAATTGGTACATACCAAAAACTTAGTAGTGCGGAAAACTATTTATCTGCCTATAAGAAATGTTGTAGCTTGGCAAATATTTCTATATTTACCAATTTCAGGAATATTTTGTCTATATTTGTTTCGTTATTACAGAAAACTTTTAAAGACCGATGAACACAAACAAACTTAAAGTGTTGCATTCTGCTGTAAAAGGAACAATGGCAAAAAAGTTACAGGCATTTACTAGTGACATACCTGGTTGAGGGCAAGAATGAAGGTAGGAGCAAACAACCCCATGTGAAAAAGTAGACATTGCATATCCTCTTCTAAACTTTACATTCTCACCAACCATAGCAGCAACTTCTGTGATTGCGCTTTGCACTGTAGTTTCCCCCGAAATTTTTGGATGACTTAAATCAATATTCATGTCCTACAAAAAAAAGGAAGATTTATTACATTTGTACCACTCCATTTCTATTTACTTACATATTTAACGCCTAAATTTCAATTTTACTAATGTACCACATTACAAATGCATGAAAATGTGTATTCCATTTTTTAAAAATTAAAATGATTGTATTTTTTTTGTGGTATGAAAGGCTTGGGTGGCATATATATAAAAAGCAAGAGTTTGGGTGTTAGAAATGTAAATACATAGGAATTTGGCGGCGTGTTCCGTAAATGCGCCAAACACAAAAGCATTTGTAGGTAAAAAAAAAATTATGACAATATTCGTATAGGAATTTATTGCAACGATTCACTCCAAATTATTAGAGAGCAATTCGAAACCGCTTCACCGCATTTTGATGTGAAGTATGCTATGTGCTGAAGTTTCTCTGTCATCACAAAGTAAAATAAGCATTCGATAGTAGACGAGTAGAGCAAAAACACTTCTCTCTTTTGCAACCCAAAAGTTCCTTGAACTCCTTCCTGTATTTTATTACAAAAAATCTTTTGTTGTATCGTTAAATCTTTAGCATGATATACAACGTTATCTGCAACTCAAGAGTTTGTCCCACAGGCCCCCACGGTACTCCATAGGAATATAGCAATGTATTATTAAAAATGACTTCTAACATTGATGCATTATATCATTGAATATTGTTGAATCTAAAAATGTCTGAGAAACACACCAAAAATGGCGTTCTGCTAGGAAGTGGTTAGAGAGAGAGAGAGAGCGGTAGAGAATAGTAGAAGTGTCTTATTCATGATATGGACACCTCTTTATAGACAAATGTCCCAATATTACAAAAATACGTATTAGCCCCCTCATTATTAACTTTTCAGGGGGATTTTTTTGGTAAATATAGAGTTATTTACATACAATAAGACTGGGGGCGGATTCGATCAATGTGGGTCATTGATCATTCGGTAAGCCTTGACTCGATCTATATCTAGTCCAAAATAGTGCTCCCCGTCGATTGTCCTGAAGTTTGACTACCGCACTGCGGAAGCTTCTCCTGGCGTCTTTTATCGATCATTCGAACAATGTGCTTCTGTCACCAACATTCATCCAAAACGTTCGTCGAACGCTATGTTCGATCGTCCGCATCTACTTCCTAAGCCGTTCACCTGCTTAAAGATTCATGTTGATATATTTTTATATGTGCAGATTTAGTTCCTCAATTTTCTTACTCCTTGGAAGCTGTACAGTACACGAGGATAAGAGAATTTTTTAACATAAAATAGTTAAATAACATTATTGCTCAATAATGGATTTCTTTGGATTTATGTGCCCAGGTCATTATCAATAAGCTTTAAAGCAAAGGATTTTCCACCGTCTTTTTATCTTTTGGCTTATTTGTCTTATGTCCTCCTTTCGTGTTTTTTGTGATGTCTAGCGAAGGAGTGTCGCCTTCCAATGTTGGCGCGGGCTTGTAAGTTGGACGTGAAGCGTAAGCCAGCAGGTGAGGTATTCGCGGAAGGGGTGAAGTAGGAAGAGAGCTGAGCCCAAGCTAAAAGTTGGCGATCGAGAGAGCCGACCAGATTCTTTTAATTTCCCTATAGGGCCACCCTAGAACAGAGTTGAAGGACATGCTAGGTGTCGTCCTGATGATCATCCTACGGGGCACATGCTAGAGGTGAGTGTTCCTACTGTAAGAGAGAGATTGTCCGCACAAGTGGCTGTGGGGTCTGCGGTTCCCCAGAGGGGTCCTGAGAAGGCAGCGGTTGATGCTGAGACGTCTTCGATAGACTAGGAGCTGACTTTTTTCTGAAGGTGGAGGACAAGGGAAAGCCGGTGAGGACATTCTTTTTACACTACATCTGAATGGGGGAGAATTCTTGGTATGTTAGCTTGAATAACTTTTTGCATTTCTTTTTTCAACAACTATAGTCGTGACTATCGATTCTGTATCGATAGAAATTGACGTTGGTCCTAAGAATGAAGCGTCGGTTGTGGATCATGTTGCGGTTGAGAGAGTGGGTAGGGGACAAGTTGTCGCGGAGGGAGCAAATATGACGGAACTGAGTGCACTGGAACAAGGTGCTGAGCAGGATGTCGAGGATGAGGGTGTTGAAGGTCAGGGTGCTGGCCGTCAAGTTTTTTCTGGTGTTGTGAGAGAGGAGGAGGTGACCGGAGGGCATCGCGTGTCCTCAGACTTCATACTAGGCCGCCTTGCTGATATGAAGGAGCATTTTCTTTGTTTTATGGGGTATCCTCGAGGAGATGACAATGAAAGAATTACTAAGGTTTTTAAGAGAGTCAATCAGGTGGAGAGGGAAGTTATTGCACTGTGCGAGGAACTTGCAGCTTTCTACGGGGAGAAGCTTGCCGATCGAGGGGAAGATATGTGTCTGTGTTCAAAACTGTAGGGTGAAGGCGTTTTTCGGCTGCCTTTGTACCTCGATCCACATTGGTTGGTTCTCCTCCACAGGGGCAGATCCGACGCTGTTTTAGTATAGACCATCGTCGGGTTTTTCCTGTAGGTGGATCACTCTCCTTCCATTATTGGCAAATAGTTCTCCTTAAGAGGGGTTTAGTGTTTCTTGTCGTACTGGCTCTTCTCTGGAACTGGAGCCACTGCTAGGGCAGCGACCGCCCTAAGTAGTTCTGTAAATTGTCCTGAGAACTGGTTAGTGATCTGCGTTCTCAAGTCTTGCAGGCCTTGTTAGACGAAGTCTTTCAAAAACATGTTTCTCCTCCTACGTTCATCTGATTGGAATCTTCTTGTTGTTGCTGTTGGGCTCCTCTTGTTGATGGTATGTTTCCATGCTCATCGCACCTTAAAAGATGTTGAATCCAAAAGTGTCCGGAAAACACACTCAATGAATGGAAAGTTCCGCTATGAACTGATTAGAGAGAGAGAGCAATATAGAATAGTAAAAAGAGAGTATCTTATTTATGACGTGGACCCCTATTTATAGGTCAAGGTCCCAATATTATAAAAGTACAAATTAGTTCCCTCATAATTATCTTTTTAGGGGATTTTTTGGTAATTACAGGGTTATTTGTATATAATAAGAGCGGGGGCTCATTCGATCGATGAGAGTCGTCGATCGCCCGATAAATCTTGACTCGATCGATATCTAGTCCGAAAAAGTGCTCCCCGTCAATCGTCCTGAAGGTTGACTACTGCTCTGCAGGAGCTTCTCCTGGTTCCTTCTATCGATCGTTCGAACAAGGTGCTTTTGTCGCCAACATTAATCCAAAACGATCATCAAAGACTATGTTTAATCATCCGCATCTACATTCTGAGCCGTTAATCTGTTTTTAGATTTGTGTTGACATATTTTATATGTATAAATATCAACTCAATAAAGGGGCATCTGCTTACATACAACGCAATTCTGACATATTTACATATTTAACACTAAATTTTTCTATTTACATGCATAACACTCAAATCGTTAACATGACATCAAAATTACAACTCTTCCTAACTTTATAAAAGAGAGATACACCTTTTCATGCATAGTATTCTAATACCAAAGTGTTATAAATGTGAATATAAAACTTTAGGTGTTAGATATGTAAATACATAAGAGTTTTATGTTACGTGTGTAAATTTCGCTTCAATTAATTCAGTTCTGATAGGAATAAGTTGACTCAGCCTAGTAAAGTTGGTTTACGAATAATAGAATTACTTCTATATGAGATTTTAACAGTAGTTATTACTTTTTATGCACTACAGTTCATACGGTAGTTCAAAGATCTGCAGCTTCAGGCCATTCATGAGTTTCTTATTCCTTTCACTGCTTTTGCATGGCAGGTCGAACTTGCACTGTGTGACAATGACAACATTAATCTTTCCAGGCTGAGCCAGGAAATATGCATGCTATATTGGATCAAATTTCTGAGCTATTTTTTGTTACATCTTTCAGCTTCTCATGCTAGAGGAACAGTTTCTCATCAAAGATGTGTTTAAAATACAACAACCAGGTGGGATATTCTTCATAAATTTACAAATGCATACCAGTTTCTTCTAAAAAATTTGTCCTTAATCATGTTCACCAACTTAACTAGAAAGCTCTGGCTACCATTTAAAGCACATAAGACAACTTGTTGGAAAAACTTAAAACGGGTTTCCAATTAAGAATTATGAAATGCAAGGTGATATCATGGTATCCTCAAATCAAGAAAAAAAATTGCAAATTAATTCTTTCCAACACATGAAGCATAGAAGAAAAATTGATATTTACAGCAAAGATGAGAAACAAGCATGCCACAATGTTACATTGAGGACAATACTTCAGATAGCATGAAATCATAATAAGAAAATTCCCATTAATGGGTGCACCTGTAGGTATTCAGAACCAAAATGAAAGGCCGCTTCTTGACCCTCTTGTGGAGGACCAATAGATGATAGAGCAGTTCTAGCCAAAGTCAAAGCCTGCAAAATATGAACACAATTACAGGAATTTAAAATGCTTTAACATAACAAAATAAATCCCATGAAGCGCTAAACAACAAAAGAGACTTATGCATAGCATGTTGCCAATGCTTCTTAAAAAACATTTATTCACGGCTGAAATAACTGCTGCAAAAACTTAGAATGGGATTTCTCCAAAGGAACAGCGTGAAAATATTTGAACCTCTTATAACCTGTCAAGCTATTGGAAAAAAGGAAGTCAACCTATGTCCTCTGATAATGCATCTTCCTAACATGGCACCACGCTCCACCACGTTAAAACGTAAGAATAATGATAAAAACAGGACATTTGCATGTGTGTACACAAGAATTCTTATATATTTACATATCTAACACCGGAGCTTTGATATTTACATACATAACACTCAAATCCTTAACATCAAATCAAAATAACCATTATTATTAGCTTTGTAAAATGAAATGCACATTTTCATGCATAGGTTTGTAACGCAAAAGTGTTGTAAATGTAATATCAAACTATATTTGTTAGATTTGCAAATAAATAAGAATTGTGTGGTATGTATGTAAATCTTCCTAAAAAAATGTGCTTTCTTCATCAGCACTCTGAAAAGGAAAAAGCTCCACCACAGTATAGGCATAAGCCATAAAAACAGGTTTTTGGTCAATCATATGCAACTCTACTTATTAAGGTGAAAGCTCATGTGCCATAAATGTTAGATCAAAAATGCCAGCACGAGAACATATTTCCCCACCAGATGTATTGGTGTGGTTTCCTCCACCTATGACACCAAAATTTCTGGTAAACCATAAATTCTTATGTTCGCTTATTCTTCAAGAATATACTTTTAGAAAGGAAAATGTGATTTCAAAAAAAAAAAAAAAACTCTTGCAAACCTTAGAAAAGTAATATACTTACAAAGCAAATAGCTAAAGAAGCACTAATCCAAGTATTATTAATGCAGTTAGCAGTATATTAACCTTAGTAAATTAATGCAGTATACTCAAGTACGGTAAAATTAAACAGCTATACAAAATTTGAATGAGAACAAAGAAAAAAAATAATAATCAATTAACAGAAATGAAATGAAAACCAACCAAGTGTTGAAATACATCATTCCTAGCAACGAAATCTGTCTCACAATTAAGCTCAATAATGGCGGCCCTGTTATCAGATTCTGCCACTGCCACGAAACCCTCAGCAGCAATCCTAGATGACTTTTTTGAAGCAAGAACCACTCCTCTTTTTCGTAGGTCCTTTTGTGCAGCCTCTGGATTAAACCACAATAAAATGAAGGCGGCGAAAGATAGTGAACTTTTGTGCTTAAAATGACATAATAATCAAATAACCCCCTACCAATATCCCATTTGCAATCAATAAGAGCAGATTTTACATGTTTGATTGGAGCACTTGTCCTCTCCCTCAGCTGTTTAATAAGATTCATCTGCTCTGAAGCAGAAACTTCTAAAGAAAACCATCTAATAGTGGCTGAATTCAAAGAAAAAGGAGCGAGAAAATCTCTCGGTTGAACGAGTCTGTTTCCTCTACATGCCCATGTAGCGTAACTATGTCTAAGGTTCCCACAAACACTTGCATCTAGGAGGAATTTAATTGATCTCTTAGCAGTCCAATAACTGATCATATTGGAGTTAACAAACTTCCTGATGAGAAAAACAAAAAAAAAGTGTATAAAACAAATTAACACTGCTTAGATTTTAAACTAGCATAAGAAAATTCACCTCGCTAACTGAACAGAATCAATCAGAAACAGCCAAAGAAAAAAAGCAATGTTTGCATGCATAACAGTCAATTCTTATGTATTTACATATCAAACACTAAACTTCATTTTTTACATATATGACATCTTACCCATGCATGAAAAATAATATTTTACTTTTTAAAAGTTAACATGGTTGTATATTTGACGTGATATTGGTATAAATGTAAAAATAAAGTTTAGGTACTAGATATGTAAATACATAAGAATTGGGTGGTATGTATGTAAATGCCCCAAGAATAAACTGGGAGATGGGGAAATACAAATGTTTTTGGCTGGGGGAAACAATGCAAAGGCTAGAGATGAACCATGGAATAAGATGATATAAACAGAAGAATCCTAATGGTGCACAGCTCAAACAAGCATGTGTAAACCTGCTTCAAATCGAAAGGTTAAAAAGGAGAACAATAAAAAATTGAACTTCAAGTTTGGTCAACAATCAAAAGCCAGTACACGCATAAATTGAAAACTGCAAATTCACAGATTATATATATGTGTGTGTGTTGAATTTCAGAATAATGCTGAATGTTTTTATTGATATGAAGATACAAATAACCTAACATGAATCCTAGAATATGAAAGACAATAAAAAGAACATAACAGAAAAAAATATAATAACAGAAAAAAATATATATAACACCTAATATCTCCAATTAATCAATTCATATAAATTATTTGGAGATAAAAGAAATAACTTAAAATAAGAATGCCTAAAATAGAGGAAAAAAAATAAAATCCAAGAAAATAAATCTAAAAAAGAAAAAGAAATAAAACTAACCCTCAGAGCTTCTAATATGAATAAATTATTTTTAATATAACTTCTAACGCCCCCTCTCAAGTTAAAACGAAAACCATGTTCAACTTAGATTTGAAAACATTAAACAATAAGGGAGAAAAATTCAGTGAAGTTGATGATACAGGAGAACTCTCAAACCACAAAAAAAAACTTTTATTAATAGGAAACAAAGGATACAACACATAAAAACTAGAAATAACATCACCAAAACACAAAATGACACAAATGGACCCGTCAAGAGTGTATTCCAAGGGCGGTGGAGGTAGGCTAGGTGGATCGAGATGGTTGGCTAGTAAACGGGAATGCTGGACGGCGAGTGAGAAGGTTGTATAGCGAGCAGGGAGTCTGTATAGCGAGTGGGGAAGGCTGGACAGCTAGCGGGAAGGTCGTAAAGCAAGCGGGGAGGCTGAACAGCAAGCAGGGCAGGATGGACAGCAAGCAGGGAAGGCTAGACAGCAAGAGGGCAGGCCGGACAGCAAGCGGGGAAGCTTTTGCGGGTGGCCGGCACCGGACAGCAAGCGGGGAAGCTTTTGCGGGTGGCCGGCAGCTAAGGAACGTAAAGGAGAAGAGGCAGGGAAGATAAAAGTAGAGATATAATCACCACCTTGGAGTATGATACAGCCGGAGCATCACCACCTCCTCGGATACAGCTCATAAAGGAAAAAAGAACTCATCACAAAAATAAAAAAACAACACACAGTAGAAACTCACCATACTCTTAGCAAACCAACATACATATAACCCTAACTAGGCGGGAAACAAAAAAGAAGAAAAGAGGGGAAAGGAAAGAGGAGGAGACGCAAATATTAGAACACCAATGCCGCCTCTCCCCTAAGTTCCGCTCAATATGGGCAAGAGACGCGAAAAAACAGGTCGCCTAGTTTGCCTGATGTCGCTCGCCCCATTGAATGTACCGGTCGGTTCAGCTAGCTACTTGTTTTTCTGTCTCCTCTGGACCAGCGACAATGCGAGAACCCGCTTCCGCGGCCACGCAAGGGAAGCCCAGCGTCGATCTCCCGAGGTTGGGCGAGCTTCGAATTTATTTGTCGAAACTTCAAGCTCCTCATAATACTGTGTCACGTAGGCAATGTTGAATAGCCCTCTGGCAGGTCGGTCATGTATATGTTGTCGTTCCAAAGCACACTTTGGTAGAATAAATATTCGTCCATCTTTGGCACGCACTGAGTTGGAGCTGTAGGAAGACGAGTACTTTCACTAAGCATGTATCGAGCCATCTCAGTTGTAAACCGCTTCTTCCACTCATAATCGGCTGAGTGCATCTCATGAACTAGTATGTAAGAAGAAGTCAAATCTGGGGTGATAACAATTGAAGGGAAGAGTGAAAAATAACGAGGAGATGATGTGGCCACCGCTGCAAGTTTTGCCACAGCTGCAGTAGCTTAAATAATTTCTTTAGCTCTTTCACAGAGATGAATATAGCCTCCTTAATTACAAACAATTCTCGATGACGAGCCACAAAATCAAGCTTTTCATAGTGGTTCTTATAATCATGTCAATGCAGAGGTGCAAGCACTTTTCCAAGCCACCAAAAGTATTAAATAAAGTACAATCAATATCAAATGCACAACGAAATGAAAATAAACAGAAACTAAATAAAATACAAAAAATATTGAATAAAGTATAAATAATATAATAATAAATACTCCAATCACACTCCTACTATCACACCAGTAATTTGTTTCCTTAACTTTGTCATCTAGCTTGCATCTTTTATGTCTATAGCACAGTGGTGAAAGCATTATTCTCAAGCTGTGATAAAGAATGTCCAAAACGGTACTCAAATTCCTCAGCAGATACATGCTCCTGATCCTCGTTCGCCCTACAGAAGTCGACGTCAATGCGAGAAGAATGTCACCGAATATAATTGTGAACTGTCATCGTGGCAATCACAATTTGCACAAGTTTGGGAAACGAGTAAGATGACATATCACGGAGTATAACTCATTTCTTCTTCTAAACACCAAAAATCCTCTCAATGACAACGTGTAAGGAGGAATATTTTTTATTGAACATTTACTTTCTGCCTCGTGTTACATTGTTTGTTCGCACAAAGTTTGGTATGTAGTATCTCTTATCAAACTATGACTTAAGATACCCTCCCCGCAAAAGATATTCAGCATTAACAAAATAACATTTGTCTAATATGCATTGTATAATTAGTTATGAGGTAAAAGTGAATTACGAGAGTAGCTGAGTCTCAAGCGTACCTGCAGGAGGATGTAGGAAGTTGTACAAAGTTGTACTTATTATTTCGTGTTGCAGCTTTGAAAATTATGTCATGTGTACTGCCGTCTTAATCGGTCATGACAAAAGTGAAACACTTGTTGAAGTTGCATACAGTCGTGACATTCTGCGTTAGCAACCCGCAACAGCCGACGAATGCAATCTTCTTATTATTTGGAACACGTGCATCAACGCGCGTTCCATGAATTATTTTAATACAATTCTGGAAAGAAAATGATGGGTTGCGTGATAAAATTGTTTTTTTTTTGTAAATTGAATATAATAAATTTAAAACATTACCTTAAAGAATGATAACGACATGTGTCGTGCATTGTGAGAAATCTTTATGGGAGTTCATTCGAACGTTAGGTCTATTGGTTTATGACTTGTGAAGAAATACTCATAAATGTCTTCAACCCCACTGAGAAGTATCTGTAAATTGTTTCAGATAAGTGTTAGATCTCTTCATTGCTCTTCGCATTGATTCATTCTGAGATAATATGCAGAGGGTTCTCGTCAGCATCTCTCACAAAGTCGTTCTGGAAGTTGTACTTATTATTTTGTGTTGCAGCTTTGAAAATTATGTCATGTGTTCTGTCGTCTTAATCGGTCAAGACAAAAGTTAAACACTTGTTGAAGTTGCATACAGTCGTGACATTCTGCGTTAGCAACCCGCAACAGCCGATGAATGCAATCTTCTTATTATTTGGAACACGTGCATCAACGCGCGTTCCATGAATTATTTTAATACAATTCTGGACAGAAAATGATGGGTTGCGTGATAAAATTGTTTTTTTTTTGTAAATTGAATATAATAAATTTAAAACATTACCTTAAAGAATGACATGTGTCGTGCATCGTGTGAAATCTTTATGGGAGTTCATTCGAACGTTGGGTCTATTGGTTTTATGACTTGTGAAGAAATACTCATAAATGTCTTCAACCCCACTGAGAAATATCTGCAAATTGTTTCAAATAAGCGTTAGATCTCTTCATTGCTCCTCGCATTGATTCATTCTGAGATAATATGCAAAGGGTTCTCGTCAGCATCTCTCACAAAGTCGTTCTGGAAGAGTCATGAAGTCCATGTTTTATGTGTAGTTCCTCCAACAAATCGTTGAATATCACTTGTGTTATGCAGAACATATTGTTAAATCTTATTGGGTGGTTTGCAAGTAACTCTCCAACCCATTTGTCATCAATATATGAGAATGTCATACAAGAAGAGCAATCTATGCACAAGTTATAATATTCGTACATCAAACATACGACAACTGCAAATCTTCTACGCTTTTCTCTGGTTGCATCCATGTATATCATTATTGTATTGGCTGACACAGAAGCATCAATGAATTATTTACAATTATATTAGGTTACGAACAACACCATAAACATATAAGCATCACTGAATAAGACATGTCTCAAACAGCTGAAATATCTATAGCAAAATGAAAAACAATACACAGGCATAAATTTCCCAAGTGATTGTAAATAAAAAAATTTCTCAAATGTTCCTGCGGTTATAAAAATATCATATGTACGTCACCACCTTATGGTCTTCGGGCATCTTGACAAAAAAATCTCTACGGGTCGGTTCTTCAAGCAACTCTATTGCAAACAAGTACAGTGACAACTCCTCATAAATTTTCCTAATTTCATTCATAATTTGCAGAACCTGGTCGACATAATGTTCTTGAGACGTGCAGGATTCAACGTTGTATGAAGCCACCAGCTCTGACATCTGGCTTTTAAGGATAGCAACTCCCATTTTCTTTTTATTCTCAACCCGATGATGCTTAGGATGACAGGTAGACTTAAGTTCATGAAGGTCCAGGCTGAGGACTTCGGTGGAATCACTCAATTGGTCGGCTCACAAGTTCTCGTGGGTGCCACCAAACCCTCTCTTACTGGGAGCACGAGCATTGTTGCTCGTAGCAACGACACCTCGAAACATTTGATACAACATATTCTCCAACTCAAAATCAAATCCACTGATATTAAATTTATTTGTAGCTGACACCGACTACAAATTCATAACATATACTTCAATTTAAAAATAAAATGAAATTGACCAAATTAGAGAACATGACAAAAATGTTTTCCGCAAGTCTTTCTGCCCGTTACTCATCGACAGCATCAATGCTTCGCTTCACCGGATCCCACCCCAGACCAGCTGATCTCTGTTTTGATTCCTTTCAAAATTTTCAATCATTTTTTAGTTGATCTCACTTATTCTTTAATTGCACCATATCTTACTTTTTGTCTGTATTTTTCTTTAATTTTTTTATAATGTTTCATCACTTTTTCTTGTTGAAATATGTTGTAGACCTATTTCACAGATTCAACTCCTTGAGGCAAATGTCACAAAATATTATATTTGTTTCTTTGTCCTATATTGCGTGTGTACCCGTGTGTACCCGCCTGTTTGGTTTTAACCGTTGTATTGCAATGATGAAAAAATTAAAGTTACAAAAATAAAAAAAATGCAGCAAAGTATGCACACAATGACATTATCGCGGTGTACCCGCCTCTTTGGTTTTAACCGTTGTATTACAATGATGAAAAATTTAAAGTTACAAAAATAAAAAAATGCAGCAAAGTATGCACACAATGACATTATCGCACGCACCCCGCCACACCAAACCAAACCAAACCAAAACATCATTCACAGATGCAAACCCCACCACAAGAACAACACACCAAAATAAATTCACCAAAAGCAAACCATGCACCGATATTCTAATCCTAGGGCCTCCTCTAGAAAAAGGATGATCCATCACATAGGAATATGGCTGCACCGACTAATGTTGGCCAACGCACTCAACTTGTGTGGGCGACTGAACACACAGGCCTACCAAAACTAAAGCCTAGGGCTAGCTATGAAGGAAAAGACGAAGGGTTTGAGATGGTTATACCGACGAGTTGGTTGTTCGTCGTCCGGAGAAGTTCGGGAGAAGCTCTCCCCGAAAAGAGAGAAGACTTTCACGCTTTTCCGCACTACGGTATCGTCTCTGTCCGTCGATTCTAAGGCACTCCGGCGAGGTTTCCGACCACCGGGGAATAAGGGGCCCACGACGCGGTTGGGAGGAGGAGCTTGTTGGGGGCGTAAAAGAAAATTGTAGGGGAGAGGGGATAATCTCTGTCCTAGGTTCTGCGTGCGAAGGAGGTGACAGCCGGCTGTGGAACGCCGGCTTGAGGTCCGCACGTCGGAGTAGGCTTCGCTGGGAGGAGAGAAAGCCGAAGAAAGGGGGCTGCGGTCGCTAGCGTTGAAGGTGACGCGAAGGATCAGGGATCCCACGAAGGCTTCGCTTGAGAGAAGGCTAAGGCCTGCGAGAGCTCGACGCCGGCGTCGAGGAAGGCCTGCAAGACGCCTCCGGCAAGGACCGAACAGCCCGTGCGTGCTAAGAAGGCAACGAAAAGAACGGCCGAGCGTCTGCGCCAAGGAAGCCTTGGACGGGAGTCTCGGCACGGAGGAGAGCGTCGGCGGTGCAGCGTTCGCCGGCGAGGAGCTTCGAGCGAGAGTGAGCGCGCGAGGGCCTAGGGCACGCGGAAGTAGTTTAGGGGCAGGCGTCTGGCTGCTTCCAGTAAAATTTAGGTGTCATCCGGACAATTTTGTCAATAAATTTGTTCGTTTAAGCCTGTTTCTTGTTTAAGCCTGTTTTATGTGGCGCGAATGAGACTTGATAATGATATCGGCAGTGTGCTCCTTTACACGAGTCGGAAAGGCTTAAATGAATGTCTTACATTATACATTATGAGGATCAACACATGAATCAAAAAACATTTTTTAAACTCGAGCGGACATCTTACACTCTGATGCCAACATTATAATCAACTAATTAGATTATACGTGCGATATTGCTTTTCTATAAAGACAATTATATTGTAAAATGAGGATCACTCTTACATGTTGACTTTGACTTTGCATTGAATATTAGGTAAATTTATCAAGTGCTTTGTTAGGTTGCTTGAATAGTCAGTGTTAACAACATGCCAAAACTATCTCCTCGAAGAGTCTGTTTGGAGCAGCTGGAGATTATTAAATAATTTGCTGATAAGTTGATTAAAAATAATCTGTTGATAAGCTAGATGCGGTGACTATTATAAATTTTTATTTTTTGTTTGAAAAGTTAGATCGCTTTCAGCGTTTTCACACTGTACCTATTTAAGAGGTGCGGTGACAGCTTTCTGGCAACGATCTGACTTTTCCAAAAAAATAAAAATTTCTAATAGTTACCACATCTAGCTTATCAACAGATTATTTTTAATCAACTTATCAACAGATTATTCAATAACCTGCAGCTGCCCCAAAGTCGAGGTCTTGCTAATAAAATTTACAAATATATGGATTTACAACTATTGTGAATTATTAGACAAAGGAGACACACCAACAAGATAATAACACTCAAGATCTAGGTGGATAGAGAGAGAGAGAGAGAGAGCAATGAAGGTTAGAGAATGAGACCAGGATCATGTTATTTCTCCTTTTTGTAACATGAACCATGATATCTATCTGCACATTTGACCCCCATTTATGTAAAATGGTGCGTAGTGATTGCATGAATATAAAAAAAATATTATAATTAAGTTCTCTGGTGATGTTAATATCAAGACAGCATGCAACATCATAACGCCTCATGTTGCTTAAATGATCTTATAATACGTTCAATAATTGACCAATAAGATAATTTAATGAATGAACATGGTACACATTTTTCTGAGGCCTAGTTAGCCACAAATAGGGCCTAAGTTGGTCGTTGGGTCATTTCATGGTTATGTATTCGGGCAATTCTAGCAAAAGTTGGTGTTGGATACACCTATGTTGCATGGTCATCATTAGGGCATGAGCTGCTCACTGAGTAAACTCTCAATCTCGCTCGCAATAAATTTTCGAGACATTTGAAAAGAAAACAAGTTGTCGTAAACCCATGACAGTTATTGTTTGAAACATGAACGAGCAATCATGAAACAATGATCGAAAATCACATAAAATCAAATTATAATTACATCGCATCCAAAAATTCAAATTGCAATTCAACTTTTTTAAAACTATAATCTAAATACAAAGCACAAATTTGTGAACAAATTATTTCTCCAAAAAACAAAAAAAAAAAGGAATAATAACCTTTCTCTCATAATTATTATTATGCTTCATGTAAAATTAAAATATTAAAGAAATTGATAAAATCAATTAAAATTTAAGGAATAAAAGTATAAAGTAGTAATTGTTATTTAAAAAAAAGGCGACAATTTCATATAATCCATCCCAAAAATTGATTTTTACAAATTAATCACCCAGAAATCGATGTATTTACGCTCGGCACGATCGAACTATTAAGAATTTGATAAAAATGAAAAACATGGATAGGGATTTTACTATAAACTTTGTTATTTGGGCGAGAATTTGAAAAATAGATGAAATATGAAGATTTTATTTGTAAATAGCAAATTTCAGGTGGTCTAGATGTAATTGCCCTCCTTAACACGTGTATGGAAAAACGTAAGAGTTGGGGCCAGATATCTTTAAATGCTTAAAAATAGAATTCATCTGAGATTTGAAAAAACTGAATACAATATTCGAAATACGCGATAGCGATATTGAAGTCCGAGGAAGAAATATGAGGTTGGATTTCATAGTGTTGTGATATCATGAATGTTTTATTTTCTTCTTTGTTTGTTGAATGTTGGCCGTAGCATTTTGATCTATTGTTTCGATTTGTAAGGTTTTAATGTTTGATGATGCTTTTTATGAAATTTCATTGCATGCATCGGGTAAGTTTTAGTTTTCTCGTTCCGATTTGTTGGAGCTTTTCGTGTTCTTGTTTCGATTTGTAACGTTTCGATGATTGATGTTAACTTTTCGTGCAATTCTCTTGGTTTCGTTGCAATTTTTAGTTTCCTTGTTTTGATTTGTAGTGTTTCGATGATTGATGATAATGTTGGTTGGATTCTCTGGATTTCGCTAGAGTTTTTATTATGTTGTGTTTTGTTTTGTTATTTGGATTTGTCGGCGGTGTTTGGTAGCATATTAGTTATAAGATTTAACAATGGATTTAATTTAAATCCAGCCAAACACGATAATAAATAAACCAAAGGCTTAGTTAAATCCAATATTTTTCACGTTCTCTCTTTCTCTTCCCGCGTTTCCTCATTTCAACGACCAAAATCCACATTTAGTAAATCTGATTGTAAGCAGAATTTATCCCGCTCTCTCTTGCAGGCTCTTGATCCAATATTTTTCACGTTCTGTCTTTCTCTTCCCATGTTTTCTCAACGAACCAAAATCCACATTTAGTAAATCTGATTGCAAGCAGAATTTATCCCGCTCTCTCTTGCAGGCTCTTCCTTCGTAAAACCGGTCTGATAAATCCAAATTTATCATATTTGATAAATTACTATTTCCTCGATTTGCAGAGTTTCGATGTTGACGATAATTTCGGTGAAATTTTTCATAGGACTTTTTATTTCGTGTGATGCAGTGATTTCGCTGATATCATCATGGCTGAGAAGAGGATTCAGAGGGAGTTGAAGGAGTATGAAAAGGAGTCAACAACAACTTGGGGATATGGTTTGTTTTTTTATTGCTCAAGTCTTGTGTATTTCTTATTATCATTGCTTTTTTAACCTTTATGTGCTACACTTTATGTAAATTTCACAATTGTTTTTGTAAAAAAATGAGAAAGGGAAATACATGAAAGGTAGTTTGGCAAAGAATGAGGTTTAATTTAGTATTATTTAATAAATACTAAATCGAGAAAAAAATTACAATTAAATTTTAATTATTTTATTTCTATGAAAAAAAAATTATTATTAGTTTTAATTAACTTCATTTTAAATTTCATTCCTAATCATGCTAAATAATAATTAGGTATTAATTAAAATAATTAATTGTTAAAACAAAAAAAAAATAATTATTATATAGGAAACAAAAGTTTAGCATTTATCAATTAATAATTAATTAGTTA